GGGGGGGGACTGCGTGACCAGAAAAGTGGCTGACGGCGCTGCTCACACAATGGCTGCTACCGTGATTTGCGGCCCCTGTTCGCCTGCGCCTCTCGGTGCTGTTTACGCACGGAAGCGGGGGCCGGGTCGTGGCACTGTCCCGGGACGGTGGGCATCACCGGCGCCCCAAAGGGTTTCCATCTCTGGCGCGGGCCTCCTTCTCCGAAGGCAGAATGCTAATGCGGCGTATCCTTTTCCCCTTGTTCGGAAACATTACGGATCGGGAGCGATCGATTCAAAGGATCCGCTTCGACTCCACACGGCAGGGGTGTCGAACGCCTTCCCTGTTTGGAAACTCCCCATGCCGGAGAGGCTTCTAAGGAAATGAGTTCCCGTCACGGAAAACGGCGCCGCTGGCAATCTGCGGAAGGCCGTGGCAAGCTGCCTTGGGACACATCAGTGATGTTCGGGGAGCGGGATTACTCTGTTTACTATGTTTTTGGCACCGAGGTATGCGTGGGCAGGGAGCTGCAGGCGCACGCCCGCGCACTCGCTAATCGCATGATCCTCCGCAAAGCCGCACCAAGGATTAATGTGGCGGGATGTGCTGACACGCTCCAGAGTGCTGGGCAGGCGGGTGGGCGAGAGAGAGAGAAAGGGGGGGGGGGGGGGGGCTAGGTAGTCCATCGCTCTCCTCCGAGGTGGCGCGGGGCTAACAGAGAGAACTTTTAAGCATCACCATGCAGCCTAAAAAAAATCCCTGCCTGAAGGTGGCGCCACCGAGGCGAGCAAGATTTCATGCGGTAGCACCGACCTTTTTACGATGGAGGCCTCGGCGCATTCGAGAGGCGCAAGATGTACGCCCCCGCTGCCCAGAGTCCGCGCTTCCAAGACACTTCGCAAGAGGATAGGGTCCGTCTGAGGCCAGGATGTAACCAGCGCTCTTTATGCATCTGTCAGTTTTTTTTCCTTTTCTTTTTGCATTTCTATAAAAAAAAACAAAATCTGCAGAACTGTGAGATGGCAGTGGGGAACGCATGGCCCACAAATGGTGTCAGGATTTCAATCCACGAGCCAAGCGCCACTGCAGAATTCCAGATCTGAACATGCCTGCAAACCATCTACACCATATATTCTACTCCACTAAAACACCTTTAAAATATTCTCCTATTATAGTTTTTAAAATATTTTTTTCTTTTTTTCCCCCCTTTTGCTCATACATTCTGAAACCTTGCAGCTAAAAAGATAAAAGAAAAACAAACCAAAATCCTTTCCCTCCACCCAGAAGCTATTTTTTTTCCCCCTTTTTTTACTTGTAATAGTAGTAGTAGTTGCTTGTAGTATTAGTATAATTAATATTCATATTTTACATTACAGTTGAGAACAATAAAAATGTTTGGTCCTTTGGTCCCTAAGGGATGAGAGATTTTCAGTTGTACTGTCGCTATGGAAACCTCAGTGACCTCAGAAAGTCATAGTTCTGCGCTTGAGAAAAGAGGAAAATCGAAGGAGAGGACGTGTCAGTCCATCAGTGGGACGGAATCACTCCATTCCCCACCATTTTTCAGGATCTTCAAGTTTAACCCTCATTTGTCCAGTGTAGCAAAACCACAAGCGTCTCTTTTTATATATATAATATTTATATATTTATATATATGTGTTTGTGTGTATGTAATATAATATGTATATAGAAATCTATTTATTGTTGCTGCTTTTCTGTTTGTTTGTTGCTTAATTAACAATTCAAGTCTCAACGCAAAAAGCTGTGTTGCTCAAGGGTCACGCCTCTCTTGCCGTGACTCCGCCGCGACTCCGCCGTGTCTCCCTGGTCTTCGTCCTGCCGTTGAATCTGCTCCTCAGTGCGGCGGTGGGCTCCTCGATGCCCCCCCTCTGTCTCGCCGCGGTGTGTCGTCGTAAGTGAAAGCTGATATGTCTTCAGAAATCCCTCCTGTTTGTTTTTGTTTTTTTTTTTGTTTTTTTTAAAACTCGTTTTTGTTTGTTTATAAAGAAATAGCTCCTTCATGATTTTTTTTTTTTTAACTTTTCTTCAGAACCTAAAAGAAAGAAATTGAACATTTAAAGCCCCGCAAGGCTCTGGAGGCATTTTGTGAAAATAAAAGCAATGATTAGACACTGAAGGGCACGGCGACATATTGGATTCTGTCATGATTTGATGAAAGGCATCCCCTATCAGAGCTGTCGTATTCATAACCCACGGTGTCAGAACAGCTTAGCTTTCGGCCAAATGAAGGGGCCGACTCTGACTCAGCATTTGTGAACGTTTGCCTGTCAGAGAAGTAAACACAGTTTCCCTTTAAATGTAACTTCTATCTACTTCTGTGGGGGAGTGATACTGTGGCGAGTAGTTAAAAAACGCTTAAACAGAGACTAAACAAAACCTGAAAAACTTAAATCATTTATCTTAATTAGTAAACTAATATTATACCAAATCAGTTAATTTCTTTTTTGTTTTTTTTTAATGGTGTGTATTTATGTAGCTGCAAAGTGTCCAATGTTCTTAATATTGGATGCACATTTTTGCATTTTTTTAAACTATAAAGAGCATTTCCTTACTTTAAGAATAGTTTCCCTAAAGGACATACGAGTCATTCTATGGACAAACTGTCGCTTACCTTTTTAACTTCCACCCTTTGTAAACTTATTTGCAAAAATGACTGCATTTATTATGACATGAATGGTTTTTCTTATGGGTATGACATCATGTGGTGGGTGACGTGTCACAATAATTCACCCCCCCCCCCCAAACTTGCCCCCTGCTGTGCCACCAACCTACCTGTGCTGTGGCAGGGAATGCCTCATGCCAAGTCTGTCAGTAAGGGCGGCTGGCATCCTTCGGCCTTTTCAGCTGCACTTTCAGCCTCTTCATACCGATCTGGAAGCCGTTCATGGCTTGAATGGCCGCCTGCGCGCTCGCTGGGTTGTCGAAACTCACGAATCCTGCAGGGGGCGACGGGGAGAATGACCCCGGGGTCACAGACGAGGATACTCAGGTCAAAGCAAGAGAAACGCTCATACAGCTGACGATTCAGCGCCGGCTCAAAAGCAGGTCCTACGTCAGCAGGTCAGTTCCCCAGGTGCTCGGATCACCGGCAGGAGTTTACAGGGAGAAAAAGGGAGACACCCACCAGTAAAGATGTCTGTGCTCACTCCGGTTGCCAGTACTACCACTAATGCGTATGTAAATAAACACAATAAAAGCCACGCGTACCAGCTGTGCAGCTAAAGCCATGCGTAAATATTTATTGCGTATACTGCCACTGCTTAGGGGCTGCTGTTTTTAATGAAGTGACTAACTTCATTTTTTAAAACCCCTTTTCCAGGTTGAAAATTTGCCAAAGCCTTTGAAGATGATCAAACTGCAGGGCAGAAGAGCTCAGGAGATGTTCATTAATGCCGCTGACCTCTGCAGTGTAGCTGTCCAGAGAACCTGCCTTCCAGGACAGTATATATCAGCTGGAAAGTGTGATTAAACGATACTGAATCATTAATATAACGCAGTCTGGTCAAAGGACAGATGTTAACTTATGTGCTTTAATTCACGTCTTGTGTCCAGTATCACAGTTATCATCTTAATTTCATTCATTAGTGCAGCGTTTCCAAGTCCGGTCCCCAGACGCTCCACGTTTTTGCTCCCTCCAAGTCCCTGCCAGACAGTCCACACTTCCGCTCCCTCCCAGCTTCCACCTCTAGAGCAAAAACGTGGACCGTCTGTGGGTCCCCGAGGACGGGATTGGGGAACATCACATTGATCAGGTTCCTTTACACAATTTGACCACCAAGGACTATAATATCATCTGCATCTAACTGCAAATGTGCAAGAGCATTAATAGATTCTCAGATTTTATCCGGAATACTTTGGGATACTGAAGTAATGAGTTAATTTACAAGAAGGAGCCTTCAATCGATTTCTTTGCTGTTTCTCGCGGGGTTAAGTCAGGCCCTCGTCTGTCAAAGAGACTGTAGGTCTCCTTCATACCACAGAATGGTATGAATGGTATGTATGGTATGTAGGTCTCCTTCATACCACTCAGCAATCCCACACGAAGTGACGCCACCTATGAATCGATAGGCAGCATTTAACATACAACAAACACGTGTTTGTGATTGTGAGCGTAAAAGACGAGGGCCGTCCACCACGCTCCACCCCTGGGGGGCCTCAATGCGCAGTCAGGGGGCTGTGATAAATCCTCAGGAGGCAGTCACTGGAAATGCCATCCCCTCCACCCCCAAGGGTGACACGCGAGGACAAGTCGATGACCCGTGACAAACAACGGGGGGAGGGCTCCCTGGACCCGTCACTGTGGTGGGGCCCCCACGTCACCTCTGGGAAGGCCACCGCTGCAGGCGGTACAAGCCCCCCAGACACATTCGCCTCCCGTCGGCTCGGATTTATCCTTTACACTGGCTGCTAGATTAATTACACCAACGAGTGTCAATTCCGCAGGCACTGACACTGCGTTGTAAATGCATAGTGTATTAGTCAATATCGGAACAGGCTTTCCTCTGTGAATTTATACATTATTAAACCCCCCCCCCCCCCCCCCCCACCCTCCTGACACCCGGCCACGATAAATTTTGCAGAGGTGGGTCGCTCCCTGAAGTGAAAACAAATGCCAATCTATAATTGTTTTCTGCCTGCTCTGCCCCCTCCCGCCCACCCCCCCACCCCCATTACGTGGGCCCAGGTGGCATTACAGTGGGCTAGAGGAATGACAGCTCCTGTATACTGATGGGCATGGGGGCTCAGGGGTGGCAGTTTTTGGGCGGGATGTAGCTGCCTGTCACATGGTCACGTCTCGGAGTCCGCGGCATCGGGCGCGCCGGCTTTGACCGAATTCGGGAAATTCCCCGCGACGAGGCCTCTCGGAGCAAGGCCGAAGCCCAATAAGCTCCCGGCAAATCCGGCTCAGGAAACTGAGGGACACGCAAAAGCCTCGTTCTGTTTATGATCTTAGAAAATGTGCATTGTTTGCCTTTTGTGGACTAAAGCTAGTCTGGGAAAAAAGTAGATTTCACAACAATAAAAGAATAAAATCTGTTTGAAGATAAAGACGTACATCCATCCATCTTCGAGCTCCTGGCCCTGGTCAGTTATTTCTCTTGCATTCTGAGACCAAAATGTAGCATATAAGGGTTTGGCTAGATGCTTATTTACAGTCAGACCTACAGACTTAACGATCCGCAGGGTCACCAACAGCATTTCCCCACTTACACACGTAGCTATGCCTCACTGGACTCACCAAAGCATTTGCTCTGGTTGGTGGCCCTGTCCATGAACACCTTGGAGGAGATGACCGTTCCAAAGGGCAGGAACATCTGCATGAGCTCATTATCTCCAAACTCCTGTGGCAGGTGGTAGATGAACAGGTTACAGCCCTCGGGTCCTGGAACACACAGGAATCTCCATCAGATTGCAAATTCCCTGAACTTTTTTAAGGGTATTTTTAGAAAAAAAAAATCCCTACTGCTTCAGTCTTATTAAAGTCTGCGTGGTACAAGATCGCATTCCTTCGCTTGTAAATGCAGGACCGCATTATGGCGTGCAGGCGGTTTCCGCCGTGACTCACGGTCCCCGTTTCACTTGTGCAAACAGTGCCGATTAGCATGTAGACTTTGGTCGGCGAGTTGGGTCTTAAGCCATCCGTGCTGCACGACTCAGTGAGATATAAGCTCTTGGTCGCCGCACTCGCCAGTCTTCTTACGCTCCGGAGTGGAGTGTGTACAGATACGGGGTGGGGACCGGCACGGCTTACATACAACAGGCACGCTGGCTGTGCGGTCAAGCTTTTGAAAAAGGAGTTTAATACTGTTCTCTCACCCTCACCTTCCCTCTGCTGCTGTTGCTGGATGACCTGGGGCGGCTGTGGCAGTGTCTGTCCAATAGGGGTCAGTGTGGTCGCTGGGTAGATTGCTGCAGTCGGGTTGGGGGGGGAGGGGGGAGGAGGAGGGGAGAGAGGAATTCAAAAATACATCACTGAACCGAAAATACTGACCAAAAAAACAAAAAAAAAAAAAAGGCAAATATGGGTCTGTTCTGTTGGCCGGGTTTTGGATGAAGGCTACAGCCCTGAATGGGAAGAAGAGAAGCTTTCCTTGGACGCCGGGCTGTCGTTGGACATTTATGTCAATGGAGTGATGCGTGTCGCTCGGGGAGGGGAAGGGGGTTGGGCATAACATTATCCACATATCTGTAACCTTCAGTTCAAATTTAGGGCTACTCTTTTCATAGGCTAACGATCAGATCTCTGTCAAAGGGGGCGGGGCCACTACACCAAGGGGCGGGGCCACTACACCAGGGGGCGGGGCTTACCTGTGTATTGCTGTACGCCGGTGAAGGCTTGCTGGAGGGTGTCGGCGGCTGTGGGGCTTTGGGCGGAGTAGGCCGGCAGGCCGTTGGCGTACACGGCTTCCACCGCCGGGTGCCCGTTGGGCTGGTGCGGGATGCCGGCAAATCCATTAACGATGGGCGTGACGATGCTGGGCACGGCGGACGTGGCGATGTTGGCGGGAGGTGAGCTGAGGCCTGCAGAGGGGCGGGGGGAGGGAGAGAGAGCGTGTGGGGTCGGATGGGGCGGCTGGGGCGAGCAGCGTGCCGACAGGGGTGAGTCACTGGGACGGGCGGGGCGGGGCGGGGGGGGGGGGGGGGGCTCTGCGGCTTAATGATGGATAACCAGAGCTTGAGTCACCTGTGGGAGGCGAGTCGGTATGCGGCGCTCGTGCGAGAGCCTGCGGGTGATGATGGTGATGAAACAGGGATGATGAAACCACCGTGCAACAGCACAAGGGGAACGAGGCAGCGTGATAAATCCGGGCCGAAAGCGCCGTGACAACAGTGTGGAGGCACTGGGGCTCCGTCGCCATCGATACACCAATGACAAGCGGGTTGCTAGGCGATACAGCCATGTTCCGAGATGCCGCCTAGCTACGCCGTAAGGTCACGTCCGGCTCTGCGGACCCACAGGACGGCGAGGCCGGGATTCTCGCTCTCCGATATCACGGACGGGGAGACGAGCTCTGCGGAGGTGGGATACCGGCGGTAGCTGACGCAACGACGCAGGGGCTTGTGGGATTGTTTACGTTCTCGGAATAAAGCGCACAGCCTGATTTCACACGTCGTGTAGGAGTTGTTGGAAAAAAAAAAAAGTTCTGATACTTTGTTAAAAAATTCATACAGACACTACAGATGTTATTATGTTACATAAAAAAATTTAAATCCATCTTTTATCAGGCTAGCTGTAGCTATACATAGGGGAATTTAACACCTTACATCAAACCGGTCGGCCATTTTCAGGACTTAAACGTGTCGTGTAATGCTGGGTCGCCCGCCGATTGTGGCGCTCCAGGAAGCCATCGGGAACCTGATTAAAAATAAGTATGTTCACTAAACGTGTGCAGGATTCTGCTCGGAGACACGTGTGGCAGGACTGCGCTCTTTTAACACATGTTGCATCATGCTGGCTTCCGCGCGTGTGCTTCACCTCAGCTAACCGACATCCCGCTTGCTGACCACTGAACCAACCTCCAACTCTCTCTCTCTCTAAAGCGCGTTACACGGTCGGCTCCACCGCACTTGCAGCGAATCTGACGGCAGGCCTGGCCGGTCTCCGTGGGGATGCAGCCGCTGCCCCCCCCCCCCCCC